CTTCATCCTTCTACATTGTTTGGAGTCAAAAACTGCGGGTTCCTGGACGGAAAATGTTCATAAGCTTTAGACATCCAGTTTTCTCTAAAGATACAAAATGAACATTTCAAAGTCGTGATCACGCGGCCATCAAAGACAATGAAACTTAAACCAGAATTTCCGACGCTTTTTCAAGAGCTCTCTGATCACGATAACAACAATCATGTTCCACTTTCTTTTTCAGTCTGTTGCGTTTCAATTTACCTTAAATCAGATCAAGTATTCTTTGAACACAGCACAATTGCAGAGAAATATCATTTTTCCCTTTTTCAGTTTTTTCATTTCTACACACGCCTTATTAAACTTGCCGACGTTTAAGTTTATCGATAAAGGTGTAAGATGACTCTTAGATTTCACAGATAAAATCAAATTCCACGTCGGTCAGGATTTTCGCGTGCCATCGCAACATTTTCTGTTCTATCACTGACCAAGAAACCAAAAATTGGCAGAGCACCCTTGCGTTCTCCTTATTTTTTTTCGTATCGAGTAAATTGCATCCCATGGAAGCTTACCTTTACTGTAGAAAACACGCTCATTCAAAACTTTTTCATCTTCCCTGAAAAATAATGTCTCTGCCGATCGGTTGCATGTTGAGATTTTACCCACTTGAACTTTACATAACAACGATAACAGGGTTCAGTAAAGACGAAAAAAAATAGAGATAAAAGCTGACGGTTGAAAATATGTCTTCACACGCTAACTAAGTTTAGAAATTAGTTCCTCACCGTCTCGCTCAATGGTAAAAGCAAAACTCAGCTTCCTTTGTTTTCTGCTAAGTTTTGATTTTACGATTTGCCACTGAATTTCACATGCTGTATCACACCGTAGATAGTGTGACTTCATGTAGTGAAAACAGTATTTAAAGAGCGCTTAGCAAGGTGTAAATTGAACATTCCCAGAGAGATAAATTAATCAGAGCCGATAACCTTATATGATGACAGAAGTTTCAAAATTAGACAGAATATCGAAGTTGAACCTAAAATAAAAAACTAACTTAAATTGAGAAAACTAGCCTAAATTGCTCACAGCGAAGTCACCTTAAAAAAAAAAAATCGAGTTTATAGTTCGGTTTCTTGTGAGGAAATCTAGATGAGTAAGACGGATGCTTAGACACGACATATGTGTTTCATTATCCACAAGATGATTCTAGTGAAACCCCTCTTCAGGGGTCAATACAACAATGCTATCGTATGTAACCATATGAAGGGGGCGTAAGTTTTCATTTACTTCGCCAACTAGTTAATTTTGTCTCTTGCCGATTGTGATAAATGAGAGGAGACTATGATGAAGTCAGGAGATTTCCTAGCGGATTTCAAAAGAAGTATTATTTGAATCATGTGATAGTAATCAGGAAATTGGCTTTAAAGAAAAGGAAACGATTTTTGATACTTCCGAGAACATTGTTCAATGAGGTCAATTTCTTCCCTTAACTTCGAAATTTTATCTTTGGCACTCCAACTCTATATCTTTCTTCTGAGGTCGCTGCGTACCATCGTATCGGGTCGCAACAAACCCCACTTCTTTCGTTGAATGAGCCGAAGAGAAAAAGACGATACAATATTCAGGAAATGGCTTCTCTGACATCTTCCCAAGCTTGGATAACATCAAGTTCAGATAAAACCCCAATTTAAAAATGAAAAATAAAGATTCTTCACAAACGTATTGATAAAAATGAGCAGAATGGCAGCAGTCTTGACATAACGAGAGAATGTACTTCTAAAGTTTCAATCTGACTCGTTAAAGTTTTGTTGGTGTGTGGTCACGAACACAAATATACACACTGGGCACTATGGGGTTCATCTGATGTTATATCCTTGTGGGTCCTCTCGGCCTTTTCATCCTTTGATAAGTTTTCCAACAAACAAGCTTTATCACTAACATCAACATCGATACTGCATATATAGGTTCGCTGATGAATTCACAATTCTTCTCGTCAAATTACTTAAAAAAAACTAGCGACCTCTGTAAGGTTAAGTTTTTTTCCATGACAGCAAAAACTATCAACTTTAGCAGGAAATGTGCCTAATATGGGTAATTTATCTTTTGTTTTGTTAACGAAAGATGAAATATAATACAAAGCTAGCGTGTGTTTAGGATTTGGAAGGGAATCAACCTCTCAAGATTGTTTAGAATCATCAATCATTGTAGAAGGCAAATAAACGCCCACAGACCCACATATTTCCAAATTCTTTAAGGCGTGTTCTTAGTTTATTGGTTTTGCATCAAGAGACGTTTTATTTTGAAATGTTTTCGTTCGATAGACCCTAAAAAAAACACTGATTTTCTGATCAATAAGTTCTCGTACCGATACGGCCTCTGTAATTTTCGCATATAAAATTATTACACCATGCACTATAGATTACGTTTGCTCGCAGCTTTTGCGGAATAATCTCTCACACGAGGGAATATTTAAATAGTTTTTCTCGGATTTTTAGCCCATAACACGGCACTTTAGTTAAATCGAAGCGATGTCCTTTTATCAAATGCTTATCAACTGAGGTTAGTGTGATAACTCACTTTCGAGAATTTTCAATTTCCTTTTCAGAAGCGGGACAAAGAAGAGGTGTAACCGAGATCATGTTCTATTTATATTCCCTCGTTGTTCTCTGAGACTTTATCGGAGGGAGCGGTTTTTTTATTCCATTACCTCTAACACTGTAGAAATGCTAAACGGAAACCAGCAACATTGTGTGGCATCTTTATGGTCAACTGGTATGTTTTCCTGGTTCGGAAATGAAAATGGATCGGTGATTAGCTGATAACCCACGATACCTAAAGAGCATTGAATTTTTTTTCAGGGTGACTTGATGTTTTTGAAATGGATACACCTAAGATCGGTATGAAATGCTTTCTGAAAGGGAATAAGAACTTTAATGCAGCAACCGCGAGACTGCAGTAAAAATAATGCATTTACCTAGTGAGAAAGTAAACATTATTTGTCAAAATAAGAGGACGCGCAATTTTCCGCTTTTTTTCTTTTCTCATTAACCCTTTGACCCCTATAAGTGACTAACATCTAATTTCTCCTTACAATATCAACCCTGAATCACACATTAGGGTCGGAAGAATAAAAGAAATGATCACCAACTGAAGAAACTCTCGATTGTTAGACAAATTCTCCTTGTCAGCATCTTAGGATATGTGTAAAGAACAGTAGGGAGAACATGTATACTGATGTTAGGGTGTAAAGGGTTGTAAAGGGTTAAATCCGCAAATACTGGTGAAATGTCACGGTGTTAACCAAATATCAAAACACTGACTCATCTATCGAGGTTTTTCATCTACAAAAATATTCCTGAGGCTTCAATACCTATCCCTTTTGGATCCAGATGGAACTATTGAGTTGGATAACACTTGAGTGTTGCTTCATCCTTATCAGGACCACACAAATTTCTTGCTTTACGTTCAAAGACCTCTTTCAATAAGCAGCTTATACGATCTTAAATCTTGTGCCCGATTATTGTGAAGTGAAATAGTGTCTGGGGAGCGAAATTTAGATTTCCGAACGTTTGATCAGAGTTAATCACGAGCAACTCTTCAAGGATTGTCTATGCCAACGACAATTTCGGCTATCTAATCTTTTTCAGCCACTATTGAAGTCCTAATCAACATTTGTAATTCAGACCGTAAGATTCACAAAGTTTAAATTACAAAGGGCTATCAGTGACTGTATATTATTTCATAAAGAATAGATGCACTATTTCGAAATAATTGAACGTAAAACTCTTTTAAAGTAAACCATTTGATTCTTGCTATTGTAGCTTTCACACATTTTTGTTGTATCCCTTGAATATAGTATCGTTAAGATGCAAAATAATTTCTTATCGAAAAGTGATTATTTTTTTACGAGTAAAAAGTGCTAAAGAAACACTACGGCCTCTTGGAAATACCTTCAGGTATTTGCTTGTAACTTAAAACCAAGTTAGATGACTTTGTTCGTCTTTCGGCAACGTTTTAGGAAACTTTTGGCTGATTCTACAGTTCAGAGCCATCTTAATTTACCCCTCATTAATTCATACCATGAGGAAAGGGGAAAAAACGGCTTAATTCTTGCATGGGGTTCATTCCAGCCAAGTGTTCACCTGGTTGTTTTTAAACGAACATGAGCTAGAACAAACTGATATTGCATCCGTAGACGTTATGAAATTTTTCTGAAAGCGATCGAGCAGAACAAATTCTTATGCTAGGTTCTCGTTTCTCTAATGTACTTGTCACCGCATCGAATCGACGGCTGTTGTAGTAGTTTCAACCTTTGAGATAAACAGAGTAATATGCAGAAAGGAAGAGATATCCAAAGTTCGCCTGTTTCATTTCTTTTGCGCTCCTCCTCAAACCCGCCCATTCGGAGATCCCCTAAGAGATAAGTGGAATTCTAGACATGACAGCAATTAATGGGTGCTTTCATTCCAGCCGAAATTTCCCTTTTTCATCAAGGATGTAGTATACTAGGACGAAGATAACGCTTTGAAAGATCCTACCACATATCATGTAACAAGCTTCCAATGAGTGTAGTTGCTAGCCCTTGAATCACCTTTGACCGCTACAAGCCCAATCTGCTAACTAAATTTACCAACCTTCTGTCTAAGAAATGAAGGTAACAACACTAGTTCTGGAAAGAAATAAGACAATTTTCGATAGCATCGCCATTCCCCTAGCCAGCCAACAGCGACTCAAATAAATTTTAAGCCAAATCACGTTCAGGGAAGGGATCATTCCAACTTTAGGATCAGTCACTCAAGGTAAGACTGAGGGCAAAGTAAAAAGGACATCTTACCTTCAAATACTGAGTGTCTCATATTGATCATGCAAGCGAACTTAACTTGAACAGGAAAGCAATTTTAAAAGTCGATCCAACATTCTAACTTCGTAAGTGCTAACACCTAGATTTCCTCGTTCATTGTTTGAAGAAAAGAGGATTCAGCACAACAGAGATTTCCGCTCCTAGCTCAAAAGCGTTCGTGTTTAGAGCTGTTCACGATGTTTTTATTCTGTCGTAAACAAGAGGAGAGAAGCAACATTTACCTTAATTTTCTCTCTGCTCCCTTTTGTCTAATACCATACAAAGACGTCAAATGAGCCAGCTAGCGCAACTCGAAAAAGGAATTCCATAGCGTGTTCGCTGTGTCCTTAAAGACAGGAAATTTTCAGAGGTACTTTTACGAGGTGCCGAATTTCAAGTTGACTTAGCAGAAATCTCACCTCAAAGGGAATTATAGCGCATAATTCATCGTGACCTTGTTAAAAATAAAATAAATTTATTGATTCCAAGTCATGCTACTAAAAGAATAGTTCCCAACCTTCAAATAAAACAAAGCTTTAGCATCAGGTATGTGCATTGCACCATCTATGTACCCACTGTGACTAAAAATATTTACTTCTGTATAAATACTTTCTTTACCTTTGGATTAAAATCTAGCTAACTGTGCAATAACATATTAAGGTTTATCAAAAGTGGCACAGTGCCCGCTTTCGACAATTAAATAACCTATCCCTGATTTTCTTTATGTAAAAGAAGCGTACAATTTCTTGCGAATCGATGCTTTTCGAAACATATTGGAGTGACATGTAGCGCAGTGAGAGGGTTTCCTTAGTCACGTGAGCCCGAACACGTCATTTACTGGGGCATCAGTCGGCCCATAAAAATTTCAGAAAAATTCAAAATAAATTTTTTTTTCTTTGTGATTTGATTGGGAATATATGATTGTGTTTGAAGAACCAGGAAAGTATCGGAGAGCACGGGAATAATTCCTTGACTGGTTGCTTAAAATTTCTGAAAGAATTTTTAGTATAACAATTTTTGCTTGCGCGGATTTGCTTCCAATATCCCCGAAAGGTTTTAAAAAATTTCCCACCACGGCCCATGGTTGATATTTTTTGAGTTTGACACATTTAACATGTTAGTTTCACTCGAGCGTTTGTCTGTTTGTTTTCAAGTTAGATGAAGCGTGTTCTTAGACATGGATTTATAAATTTTATCCTTGATTGAGCTCAGCTATGCCATAGTAAAGATCCAAGGAGTTCGGGTTTGCTAAAGCTCCTCTGTTTTTGATGTGTTCTCCTGCAAGTATCCGTTTGACAGCAACTTCCACTTTCTTCCCACTTGCTGTGTAAGGAATCTCTTTTGTTTCCAGGATAATTTCTGGGACGTGTCTGGCAGACAGCCTTTGTCGGATCGTAGACTTCACGCGCGCCACAAGCTCCTCGTTAAATCTTAAAGTGAAATTAAGAGTTTGCGAAAATGGCTGAAAAGCTAAATGTTGGGAAGGAGTAAACTTCAAGTGAATTTTATTCTGTCAACTCTCCCTTTACGAATTATAAGTAACACGTACACTGTTCTCATAGAGAGCTTTTCGACTGAGTATCGTAAAACCAACGCAGGCAGAATGGCCACTTAAAGCGAATAAAAATACCCCCAAGAATCGATGAGAGCTCAAACTTAAAAAAAACTGCCTGGAGCGCGGGAAAACGCGGGTGACTAAGCCACGATTAGTTTCAGTACTGCATCTGATTGGTTGAAAGTCTGGCGCGAGTTTTCTGGACTAATCCCTATGCAATCTTGGGCAACCTACGACAACCAATTGAACATTTCTGTATCATAACAGTGTTTAAAATAACTCACAAGAGGAGATGGCTGACTAATGTTTAAAGCAAGATGTTTAATTTATCTCCATACGCTCTCATTAGTTACTTTCTAGTACTAAAGTTTCGTTTTTCTCCTGTTTCGACGTAACCCACGAATTTTCTCTTCTATCAAGCTACAATCCTCTTTTCTTTCATTACGAAGCATTATTTAACCCTTTAACTACCATGAGTGACCAAGAGAGAATTTCTCCTTACAATATCAATACAATATCAAGCAGACAAGTGATGAGAATAAAGAAAAATATCAGTTAGGGGATTATAAGTTGATCCAATACCAAATTCTGCAAACTAATATCACAAGAACTGTATGGCAGATAGTTAGGAGAATTACTAATGAGATCTTGGGAATTAAAGGGTTAAAGTATTATTTCCGACCTGAATCCGTTGCTCATCTTCAGAAAAAGAACCACCCGTTCTCCATCCTTCGTCTGTTGACCAACACACAAACTATCTTCCACTTCTTCGAATCTCTCAACTACAACAGATCAGGTAAACACGCAACAGTCTAATGTCAGCCGAAGTACAATTGATTGACTATGTTATTTACTTTTTATGGGAGATTCTACCACAATATTCATAATCCAAATTATTCTGGATATGAAAGTTTTAAAACATAATTCAGTATAACTGTTTGCGTCCACAATTTGATCATTGGATGCTTTAAAAAGAGTGGGGAACATAATCCAAAATAAGCTCTTGAACAAAGAAGTAAACAACCCGATTAAAATTTAACCTTGGGTTAGTACTAATCGGCCTTCGAACAACTGGGCCCAGGAGGAATTGAACCCTAAACTTTCGGATTCCGCGCTCTGATGTTCCACAGTGAAATCTCTGATGAGCGAGGTCATTTCATGGTTCATATGTGATACACGCCCTGAATACTACTAAGATCAGTAATGTCAATAGCGCTGTGTGAGTAAATAGGAAACGTTTTCCAAAAACTTTAAATTAGACAGGATCTTGTTACTAAAGTGGGAAAAAGGCATGAGCCAAGCGAATCAACGGTTCAGTGCAGACAAAAAGTTGCCCAGCGACCATCACCGTATATTGCCATTCGATTTCCTCTACTGAAAAAACAAGATTCCTCACCAATATTATAAATTTCCGCACTCCCAAATCTCACACCAGCTGGGTTGAGGGTGCCATCACTGAAACAACAACAACACCCAACAATCAAGTTGAAACCGATCGTCAAAATTGCATCGTAGCCCTTTTGGTCCCTTACAATGGTCAATTTGTGTGTTCTCCATGTTCTCTCTTAACACTTCCTAAGGTGCTGACAAGGAGAATTTATCTCGCAATTACGAGCTTCTTAAGACAGTGATAACTTCCTTTTTTCACGTGACCTTAGTGTTTTATTCGGCAGCATTACTGTAAGGATAAATTAGATGCTGTTCACCCCTTGAGGTTAAAGGGGTTAATCAAAACTTTTAACCGCTTCCGTTAAAGCTAAATGTTACCGCCTCCGAGAGAAGCTGCGAAATATTTT